GGGAAAGAGATGGAGCAGGGGGCACGTGCAGCACATCTCACCCAGGGGGTGTGGTGCAGGGGCAGTTTGCCACCCCCCATCTGGCCCATATGCTTCTCATTTCTATCATCCCTCTACCAAAGGCAATAGCAGTGGCTCTGTCTTTCCTCTTAGCCTATGCAAAGATAAGCAAACAGCTGCTGAGCTCTCCATCCCATTCACTTCTCCTCCTGAAAAATACTAGGAGGCACTACACATTTCCAGCAGGGGTTCTCAGCAAAAAATAAGATAAAGGTTTTGGGGCATGGATAGAGAGATTACAGAGGCTGCCAGGTGACAAAATACCTTCCTGCTGTGAGGACGGTTTGGCAAAACAGCAACCACCAACAGTTCTAACACTGGGCTACTCACTGTTTTTCTAGTATAAGCCACACAACTAATGAAGTTTGTTTGTTGTAAATATGCCAGCCCACCTTTCCATCATGTGTACTGACTGACCAAATTAGAAGTCATTTTCTAATACCCCAGCAAGGTTTAAATCTCCTTTTCCAGGATTTTCTGCACTTCAATACAGAATTCTCTCTCTGTCTCCCCCCTCCCCCTTCAAAAACAGAGAAAACACAAACTACTACGAATTTTGCATAAATAAGAACAGTGGGGTCTACACTTTTCTTATGTTCCCATTCACAGTTCAGAACCACCTGTATTTCATTACAGCAGAGTAATAAAATGAGAAGATCTATCAATTCAAAATATAAATGTGCATTATACACACACAGTTGCAATTAATGGCCAAGAACAGCTAGGCATTTTACTTTTGTTTTTGCTAAATGTGAAAAGCAAAATTTGAAATTCCTCCCCTGCTTACATACACAGAGTTAAATGCACAAATAAAGTTTTTCTTTGGAAATTCAGAAATAAGCCCTATTTCTTAAGTAATATATCAGTGACCTGTGGCATAGGTTTACTGTAACTTCTCAATCAAGTGCGCTCAGTTTGTCTTGCTTGGTCTTAAGTATTCAAGCTAAACCGTGAAATCTAATTGAATTAAAAAACAAAAAGGTTCCGATGGCTAAAGTAAAATCTTCACTGCCACCTACACAAACCCAACAACGGTAAGCAGGCTGAAAAAGTAAAAGGGCAAAAAAACTTTGCGTCTCTAGCTGACGGACAGGAATCCGAATAAGGTGACAACACTACAGAAAAGCATTACTATAGAAAAGAACATTACTTTAAAGGCCTTTTTACTAGAGATGCACCGATATATCAGTCCGATATTGGATTAGCACTGATATAAAGAAAATTGTCTCTAACTGAAATCGGCCTGAAGTGGCCAATAAATGTCCCATGCATGCGCACAGTTGCAGCGCAGCATGTAGGCAGCAGTGAGGAGCAGAGTTGGCAGTGTGGAGAGCTGGTAAGTCTGTTGTGGTGGGGGGGGCAAATCAAGGCCCCCGCAGCGATGAGAGTGTGGGGCTGGGGTAGGGGCAAGCGCTGCCCAGCCAGGGCTGGAGCGGGGGCGTGCGGGACAGAGCCACAGCTCATCCAGGGGGCACGGGAAAGGGTGGGGAGCAACTCCCACCACTGCGCGCAGCTTATTCAGTCATCCGGCGGCTCCCACCACTGCTCCCACCATTCATCTGGGAGGGCATGGTGGGGATGCGCCCCCAGATCTGCATGTGATGGGCAGCAGCGGTGCTGGGAGGCAAGCTATGGTGTGGCTACAGTGATTTTTGGGGTGGCTGCAGCCCTCCCCTGTAACCCACTTCCAGCGCTACTACTGCTCCAATGCCACCCCCAGCCTGCAGCTGCAGCCTGTCCCACCCATGCTCCATGCAGATCTGGGGCACATGCCGCCCCCCGCCCCCTCCCATGCCCTCCCAGGATGTGCACAGCAGCAAAAGCCGCCCTCGGACAAGCTGCGGCTCCATCCCACATCCTGCCCCACCCCAGCTGGGCAGCTCCTGTCCCAGCCCCAGCCCCTCCCTCACTGCAGGGGATCTGATCTGCCCCCCACGCCTTCCACCACATCAGACTTACCAGCTGCACGCAGCTGTATCAGAAATCGGATCAGTATTGGTCAATACACCTCCTTAAAAATCAGCTATCAGTATTGGCCCCAAAAATCTCTATCGGTACACCTCTACTTTTTAGCTAACTAAAGTTAAATTAAGTCATCACGTGGACTTGTATGTTACCTTGTACATCAGGCGACAATCCTGCCTAAGGCCTCAGGGTGCTCCTGCAATAAAGCTAACAACAAGAAAAAAAAAGTTGAAAATCTCATTCAAATTGGCAAACAAACAAAGCCATTGTTTCAAGTCTGTACAAGCCCTGTTGAATCTGTGAAGATACCAGTTATTTTTAGCTTCTAACAGAGATGGTCTGAACTGTGATGCAAAAGGATACACCATTAATAGTCTTTCCATGGTTTACATGATCCACTAAACATGTGCAGGATGTTCACTCTTATGATTCATGGGCCTATGACAACAATAACAAAGTTGGGACATATATTTAGGAGCAGAAGAACAAACATAAGAAAGTTTATGTTGTTCTACACAGTAAGATCCATTTAAAATAAAATATGCACTTATGCCAACTCTTCAGCAAATCTAGAATGCTACACGCAAAGGAGACAATGCTCTTTTGGAGTCAAGGCATAATTTTGACCCAAAAAAATTAAGAAAAAAAAAATCTGGGTGAATGGACATGAAAATACCTCATTGCATTTTCCTCTCAGAAGCTGACAGATGATGATGTTCTGTACCATTCAATTATTTTGAACAGAGCAGTTTACAAGCATGAACCCCAGGATTACAGAAGACCCACATACCCCAAAAGACTAAGCATGCGTTTAACTTGCAGAGATGCTGGGAAAGGAAGTGAGTTCACTCCCAAATAGCACAAGTGGCCGTGAGGGGAGAAGGTTCTCTACAAGACTGTGCACATCACGTAGTGCTGGAAAGGAATCGGATCTCTATATCTACTCTAGAGAGATTCTAGAGAATCGGATCTCTATGGACTACCTAGCAATATATTTATATGATGGCTGTTCACGCCAGAAGAAATCCACAATAGCTCAGATTTTTTTGTAAAGAAAAAAGGTCATCTTAAAGGAGACGCAAGAAAATAGTTACTAATGTAAAATGAATAAGGGGAAAGATTGTACACAAGTAAAAATCTATCCTCTATAACATGGTTTCTCAACCTGTGGTACACGTACCCCTGGGGGTAGACACGCACCGAAAACCCCCAAAGCAAGGTGTTGCTGTTGCTCCCCCACTGCCACCAGGTTGCATCCTGCCTCTCCCCCTCGTGTTGCTCCCCCACTGCCACCAGGTTGCATCCGGCCACTCACCCCCCCCAGCCACAGGCTGCTGCATGAGGGGTTGCTGCAGGAGGGGGAAGGCAGGCATACAGATACCCATGCACTCCCCTCTGATCCAGCCACAGGCAGTAAGTTTCTTTCTTTATCCTGCCTGTGCTTTGGGGGGGGGAGGGGGGTGCAGACCAAGACCCACAGTGCAGGAGGGTGTGCAGTAGGGGCAAGGCATTGCCCCGCTACCTCCTGCACTATGGGGATTGCCCCACAACCGGGCCCGCCTGGGGCCCCGTTCACTGCGCATGGGAAGAAGCAGGCTACCACTGTAGGCTGGCGCTGGCAGTGGCACTGGGCTTTTCCTGGGACTCAGGGTGGGCTGCAGTGATGGGAGGGGGGCTGCTGGCACCCCAAAATTTACTGTAGCCTTCCCCAGCCTG